AAATAATGATAATGATAATAACAATAATAAAAGTAATAATGATAATAATGGTAATAACAATAATAAAAGTAATAAGGATAATAACGATAATGGTAATAACAATAATGATAATGATTATGATTATAATGATAATGATAGTAATAGTAATATTAATAATGATAATGATGAAGATGATAATATTGATAGTAATAATGATAATAAGGATAATAATAATAATGATATTGATAAGAATAATAATAGTAATGGTGATGATGATGATAACAATAATGAAAGTAAGAATAACAACAAAGACAGTAATTAATATGATAATGATAGTAACAATAAAGATAATAATAAAGATAATAATAATGATAATGATTTATAATGGAGATAATGATAATAACAATAATGATAATAACAATAATGATAATGATAGTAATGATAATGATAATACCATTAATCATTACGTTGCTTCTCTCCCTCTTTCTCTTCTTTTTTCCCTCTACTTTATTTTCCTCTTTGCTCATATGGATACACGTAGGCCTAGGCAAAAAAAAAAAAAAAAAAAAAAAAAAAAAAAAAAAATATATATATATATATATATATATATATATATATATATATATTATATATATAATATATATTATATATATATACCAGGCTGTGAGTGCATTCGGTTATTCTTCAATATTTTTTTCGTGAGGTTTGAGTAAAAAAAAAAAAGAAAAAAAGAGAGGAAGATTGATAAAAAAAAGTATGAGAGCAAAATGAGCATTGAGTTAAAATATCATAAAAGACATGGTATAATTTTTTTTCCAAAGCTTCGAGTACAAAAAAAAAAAAATAAAAAAAATAAAAAATTTAATTCATAAAAAATAAAGTAGTCTAAATTCACCTCATAAATTCACTTATTTAAGATATGTTATTTATTTATTTAGGATATGTTAGAGCAGAAAAAAATGAAATAAGCACATCCAAGAGGCGAGACTCCGACAGCATCCTTTGAAAGAGGAACTTGCCGTATGTGAAAGAGTGGCGAGGTTATAAAACGCGCCAAAATTATGTTTCATTTTCTGGCGTTATTGTGTGTGTGTGTGTGTGTGTGTGTGGTGTGTGTGTGTGTGTGTGTGTGTGTGGCGTGTGTGTGTGTGTGTGTGTGTGTGTGTGTGTGTGTGTGTGTGTGTGTGTGTGTGTATGTGTGTGTGGTGTGTGTTGTGTGTGTGTGTGTGTGTGTGTGTGTGAGTGTTTCGAGAGATTCTCTGTCCATCTCTTTCTCTCTCCTATTCTGCTTTCTCTTTCTCTTCTCATTTCTCCCTTTTTCTGTTTTTCTTGACCTTTCTTTCTCTGTTTCTTCTCTCTCTCTCTCTCTCTCTCTCTCTCTCTCTCTCTCCTCTCTCCGTCTCTCTCTCTTCTCTCTCTCTCTCTCCCTCTCTCTCTCTCTCTCTCTCTCTCTCTCTCTCTCCTCTCTCTCATTCTCTCTCTCTCTCCCTCCTCCTCCTCCCTCCCTCTATCCCTCTCTCCCTCTCTCCCTCCCTCCCTCCCTCCCTCCCTCCCTCCCCCCTCCCCCTCCCCCTCCCTCCCTCTCTCGCCTATCTGTCCCTCTTTCTCCATCTATCTATCTATATGTGTCCCTTTGTCTCCGTATAATCTTATCATGTTTTCATTGACAATCAACTAGTACTTTTATGTCTCTTTGTCTTAATCACAATTTATCAAGATGTGATTATAGAAGAGATAAAGGCATAATTGGGCTATTCATAAAGGCCTACATTGTATAAACCGTACACACACAAACACACACACATGCAGACATACATACCAACACGCACATATACGAACACACACAAACACACACACATGCAGACATACATACAACACGAACGCACACACACACACACACATGCTAACAACATACCAAACAACGCACAATATACCAAACACACACAACACACTAACACACCACATATATATTACACAATACAGACATACATACAGCACATATAGAAACACACACAACACACACAAATTACAAACACACCACATACGCACAAACACACGCACTCTCCCTCTAACCCACACACACACAACAAACAAACAAACACACAAATCAAACACACCACACATATACGTACACACACAATACGAACACACACATATACAAAACATACACACACACAACATACAAACACACACACACACACACATACAAACACACACATGCACAAACACACAAATACAAACACACACACATACATACAAACACACACATACATACAACACACACATAACACACACAAATACAAACAAACACACACAAAACAAACACACACATGCACAAACACACGCACTCTCTCTCACAACAAACGCACAAACACATACTGAACAAACAAAATTACAGTCACAGATACAACGAAGATAGCAAACGTAAATGTAATATTAATTAGCTACAAATAAGTTGACTGGTCCGTCTAAATAAGGTCGTTTGTGCGTCACAAAGAAAATGGGATTTGCTATCTAAGAGTTCCTTAAATCTCAAAATAAGATAACGAGTTCAAATTCTTATCTTGGTGCTTAGATTGTTGCTATTGTTAGTATTATTATTGTTCTTATTATTATTGTTATTCTATTACCAGTATTATTAAACATTATCATTATCTACTGTCATTTCAATCATTAATTATTTCATTGTTATTGCTATTTATTATTTATTATCATTATAATTATTGTCATTATTATTATTTTATCATTAATATTACTACTATTATTACACACACACACACACATCAACACACACACACACCATTTGTGGAATTCATGATGAACAGATAGCAACAGGAACAACGAAGGGAAGGGCAAGAAAAAATTATTGTCATTATTATTATTATTATCATTATTACTGACTATTATTACACACACACACACACAATCAACACACCACACACCATATGTGGAATTCATGATGAACAGATAGCAACAGGAACAACGAAGGGAAGGGCAAGAAAACACACGAATATGCCGAAGGCCTTTTCGCTATTGCTTCGTCAAGGCATGTCCTGACACCAAACACACCACAAAACACACACACACACACACACACACACAACACACACACACACACAACACACACACACACACACACACACGACACACACACACACACACACACACACACACACACACACGACACACAACACACACACCACACAACAACACACACACACACACACACACACACACACACACACAGTACACAGTATTTGAAGTACTATGGACCTTGCAACACTTTCCGCGTTCGGACCATCTGGCTGCGTTCGTATTCACGTCTACGGCTAATCGAAACTGAATCTTATGTCGCTGATGCATAGAGGCGGTTTTCCCTTCGTCCGGATTCCTCCCCGCTATTTGGGAGGGGAGGCGAGGGGTGGGGGTGGGAGGGATGGGGGAGCACTGTCAACAACAACAGAAAATTATGCTTTTGTTATGTACTTAACTACTGAATAATGTAGTTTTTACCTTTCCTTTACTAGTGTTATCTGTTTGTTATTTGTAGTTGTATTACCTGGTTTATTTTGAAGAAATGGCTTAAACACTTTTAATCTATTAGTCATTTACTCTTTTCTGCTCTATTTGTTAACACATATTTACGTAATTGATAAAATATATTAATCATTATCGTCATTATCATCGATATTATTATTACTATCATTATGATTATTGGTATTATCAATATTGTAATAATTATCATAATTATTATCGATATCGTTATCCTTATCATTATCATTAGTAGTATTATCATTGTTATAATATTTAGTATTATCATTATCCTCCTCCTCTTATTATTAATATTCTTTTCTCCTCTTTCTTCCTCCTCCTCCGCTCTCTCCCTCCTCCTGCCTTCCTGCCTTCTCCCGCCTCCTTTTCCTTCTCTCCCTCCTCCTGCCTCCTCCCCCTTCCCCTCCCCTCCTCCTCCTCCTCCCCCAAACCACCTCCTCTTCTTCTCCTCTCCTCCTCCCCCCTCCACCTCCCCTCCTCCTCCCCTACCGCCCTCCGCTCTTTCCCCTCCCCCCTCCCTCCTTCCTCCTCCCCCCTCTTCCCTCCTCTCCCTCCTCCTCCCACCGCCTCCCTCCCTCCTTCTCCCCCTTCCTCCTTCTCCCCTCACTCCTTCCTAACCCTTCCCCTCCCTCCTCCTCCCCTAACCCCTCCTCCTCTTTCTTCCTCCTGTTCTCTCCTCCTCCTCCTCTTTCTCCCCACCTCCTCCCTCCCCCCGTCCCGCTCCCCCCTCCCTCATCTCCTCCTCCTCCTCCTCCTCTCCCTCCCTCCCCTCACCTCCACCCCTCCCCTCCCCCTCCTCCCCTCCCTCTCCTCCCCTCTCTCCTCCCTCCTCCTCCTCCTCCCCTCCTAACCCTCCTCCTCCTCCTCCCTCCATCCTTCCTCCCCTCCGCCTCCATCCCTCCCCCTCCTCCTTCCCCTCTCCCGCTCTCCCCCTTCTCCCCTCCTTCTCCTAACCCCTGGCCACCTCCGTCCTCCCCCTCTCGGCTCCAGCCTCCTCCCTCCCCTCCTCCTCCTAACCCACCACCTCCTCTTCTTCTTCCTCCTCCCCCTCCTTCCTTCCTCCTCCTACCCTCTCCTCCCCCTACCACCTCCGCTCTTCCCCTCCCCCATCTCCATTCTCCCGCTCTCCCCTCCCTCCTCCTCCTCTCCTAACCCTCCCTCCTCCTCTTCCTTCTTCCTCCTCCTCCTCCTCTTCCTCCTCTCCCCCTCCTCCCTCCCGCTCCTCCCTCCTTCCTCCTCCTTGACCTCCTAACCTCCTACCCTCCCTCCGCTCCCCCTCCCCTCCCTTCCTGCAACCCACCTCCTCCTCCTCCTCCTCCGACCTCCCCCTCCCCTCCTCCTCCCCTCCCCTCCGCTCTTCCCTCCCCTCCTCCTTACCCCTCCGCTCCTCCCCCACTCCTCCTAACCCACCACCACCCTCTTACTTCTCTGTCTCCCTCCTCTTCCTCCTCCCATTCTCTTCTGCACAGTGGATGGAGAACAGCGTCCCGGGATCGACTTGCCAACATGAGTTCAAAATTCGACGGTTTGCTCATCCAACTCGGGACAGGAAAGTGGAATATGCTGTACTTCCTGGCGTCCTCATACTGTGAGTAAATTATACCTGGCTTACTGGTTAACATGATGTCCTCATACTGTGAGTAAAACAAACTTACTTATTAAATTTGGCGTGACTCATACTGTGAGTAAAATATACCTGGCTTACTGGTTAACTTGATGTCCTCATACTGTGAGTAATGGAAACTTACTTATTAACTTGGCGTCCTCATACTGTGAGTAAACTTACTGATTAACTTGGCGCCCTCATACTGTGAGTAAAATAAACCTGGCTTACTGGTTAACTTGATGTCCTCATAGTGTGAGTAAAGCAAACTTACTTATTAACTTGGCGTCCTCATACTGTGAGTAAAGCAAACTTACTTATTAACTTGGCGTCCTCATACTGTGAGTAAAATATACCTGGCTTACTGGTTAACTGATGTCCTCATAGTGTGAGTAAAGAACTTACTTATTAATTTGGCGTCCTCATACTGTGAGTAATGGAAACTTACTTATTAATTTGGCGTCCTCATACTGTGAGTAAAATAAAACCTGGCTTACTGGTATAACTTGGCGTCCTCATATTGTGAAAGTAATGGAAACTTACTTATATAACTTGCGTCCCTCATACTGTGAGTAAAAATAGACTGGCTTACTGGTTAACTTGGCGTCCTCATACTGTGAGTAATGGAAACTTACTTATTAATTTGGCGTCCTCATACTGTGAGTAAAATATACCTGGCTTACTGGTTAACTTGATGTCCTCATAGTGTGAGTAAAGCAAACTTACTTATTAATTTGGCGTCCTCAACTGGTGGAGTAATGGAAACTTACTTATTAACTTGGCGTCCTCATACTGTGAGTAAAATAAACCTGGCTTACTGGTTAACTTGGCGTCCTCATACTGTGAGTAATGGAAACTTACTTATTAATTTGGCGTTCTCATACTGTGAGTAAAAATATACTGGCTTCATGGTTAACTTTGGCGTCCTCATACTGTGAGTAATTGAAACCTTACTTATTAATTTGGGCGTCCTCATACTGTGAGTAAAATAAACCTGGCTTACTGTTAACACCGCTCATAGCTGAGTAACAAACTTACTGAGATACTGTGAGTAAAACAAACTACTTATTAACGTGACTCATAAAAATAAACCTGGCTTACTGCTAACTTGGCGTCCTCATACTGTGAGTAAAACAAACTTACTTATTAACTTGGCGTCCTCATACTGTGGAACTTGGTGTTTATTCATATATGTGAGGAAAATAACAGTTTTTTAGATCAACTTGGCGTCCTCATGCTGTGAGTAACTTGGTTCTTACTCATGCTGTGAGTAACTTGGTTCTTACTCATGCTGTGAGTAACTTGGTTCTTACTCATACTGTGAGTAACTTGGTTCTTACTCTATACTATAAGTACTTTCTTACTTACTGTGTTCTATTCATGGCTGTGGAGTAACTTGGCTTTTTGTGAGTAAAAATTAAAATATTGTAAAATTAAAATATTGTAAAAGTAAAATATTGTAAGTAAAATCAACTTGGCTTATTCATCAAGTTGACGTCCTCATACTATGAATAACTTGCTCATGTTGTCGTCTGCTCCTTTGTTTATTTTGCAGAGTGTAGGGTCAGTTGTTTGTTTTTGTTTGTGTCTGTGCTGAATTGTTTGTTCTGTTTCCTTCGATTTTTGTTTTGTTTGTTTGTGCGCTCGGGTGTTTGTATTTTGTTTGTGTTTTTGTTTTGTTTGTTTTTGTTTGTATTTTGTTTTGTGCGTTCGGCTGTTTGTGTTTTTGTTTGTGTTTTTTTTTTGTTTGTGCTCGTTTTTTCTTTTGTTTTTTCTTGGTTGTTTTTTTTTGTTTGTTAGTTTGTGCCTCGGTTAATTGTTTGTTTGTTTTCCTTTTCTTTTGTTTATGTGCCTCGGTTATCATTTCTGTTTGTTTGTGTTTTTCGTTTGTGTGGCTCGGTTGTCTTCTCTGTCCCGGTCTGTTTTTTGTTTGTTTGTTTATGCGCCTCGGTTATTTTTATTTGTTTATTTTCCTGTTTTTGTTTGTGTTTCGGTTGTTTGTTTGTTTATTTTCCTGTTTTTGTTTGTTTTGTGTCTCGGTCGTCGGTTCTGTCCTGTTTGCTTTTATTCCTTTTTTGTTTGTGTTCCTTTTTTTTTTTATCTTTGTGTTATTTATTTGGTTTGATTTGTCTATTTGACTGTTTCCTTTCTTTTCTTATTGTCTTTTCTTTTTCTTTCTTTTTCTTTTTCGTTCGTGTTTACTTTTCCCTGTTTCATTCTCGTTTTGGCTTTGTTTATTTATCTGTCAGAGAGAGAGAGAGAGAGAGAGAGAGAGAGAGAGAGAGAGAGAGAGAGAGAGAGAGAGAGAGAGAGAGAGAGAGGAGGAGAGAGAGAGAGAGAGAGAGAGAAGAGAGAGAGAGAAGAGAGAGAGAGAGAGAGAGAGAGAGAGAGAGAGAGAGAGAGAGGAGAGAGAGAGAGAGAGAGAGAGAGAGAGAGAGAGAGAGAGAGAGAGAGAGAGAGAGAGAGAGAAGAGAAGAGAGAGAAGAGAGAGAGAGAGAGAGAGAGAGAGAGAGAGAGAGAGAGAGAGAGAGAGAGAGAGAGAGAGAGACGAGAGAGAGAGAGAGAGAGAGAGAGAGAGAGAGAGAGAGAGAGAGAGAGAGAGAGAGAGAGAGTAGAAAGAGATAGCAAGAAAGAGAGAAATACATTTATGTACAGTATATAGACAGATAAATACATAGATATAGCTCTAGATAAATAGATGAATAGATACACAGACAGACAAATAGACAGACAGGTATACAGGTAGAACAGACAGACAGTTATAAATAGAGAGAAGACAAAACCACCTCACTGAGAGAGAGAGAGAGAGAGAGAGAGAGGAGAGAGAGGGAGAGAGAGAGAAGAGAGAGAGAAGAGAGAGAGAAGAGAAAGAAAGCAGAGAGAGAGAGAGAGGAGGAGAGAAAGAGAGAAAGAGAAAGAGAAAGAGAGATAGATAAATAATAGATAGAGAGAGAGGAGACGAGAGAGGAGAGATAGATAAATAGATAGAGAGAGAGAGAGGGAGGAGAGAGACAGCAGAGGAGAGAGAGAGAAGAAGGAGAGAGAGAGGGAGAGAGAGAGAGAGAGAGAGAGAGAGGGAGAGAGGAGAACGATGAGAGGAGGAGGAGAGAGAAGAGAGAGAAGAGAGAGAGGAAAAGAAGAAAGAGAGG